CTTAACCACCATGCCACCTGCTGGCCCTACCTAGCAATTTAAAATCCATTATCAGCAATACCTTCCATTATCAGCAATATCTTCATGTTATTAACTATTGCTGTTATCCTAGTTTTATGTGTAAAGAAAAGAAACCTCAGAGAGTGAAGTTTAATGTTCTACAGCTACTGAATAACAGGTATAGAACTGGGATTCATGTCATTTTTCTCTAAATCCTGTGACTTTTTTTTTTTTTTCTCTAGGGCCCATGTACACACTAGAGAGAGACATAGAAAGAAAGAAGGAAAGTGAAAAATCACCCCCCTTCCCAGAAGAGAGATGGCCACTCTGCAATCCCTTCTCCATTCTCTTGGGATTTGGGGCATGCACACAGGCCTTACATGTTTTTCTTTCTTTATTTCTTTTTATTTCTTTAAAGAATTATTTTATTTTATTTTATTTATTTTAGTTTGACCAGAGGAGTACAGAGTGAGAGAAAGGGAAAGATATGGAAAGTGAGAAAGCAAGCCACTAGGTCCAGTACTTGAACCGTGGTTGGCCATGTAAGAGTCCAGCGTCCCCAATAACCATGCCACCTGCCTGCCCCCCTTATGTGTTTTTTTTTTTTTTAGTTTAATATATTTTAATAGCAAATTTACAGGAACAGCACAGAAGACAGACAACATTAAAAACATATACTTGCATGTAGGACAACTCAGAAAAGTATTGTGACAGGATGGAACCTACTGTATGATAAAAATGCTACAAACACCATTTAGTTGCCATCAATAAGAAATTTACTTGTTTTTTTTTTTTAAAAAAACAAATGTTCAGAAAAATTTAACAGGTTTATTTCTAGACTCTACTCCATATGCCTTGAAGCAGAATCTTCAGAGTGTAACCTTTGCATTTATGTGCTGAAAATACCCAGGTTGCTCTGACTGATGCTTGATTGAGTTTGGGAAATAACTACCTTTGAAGTATTTATAATCCTTTGAAAGGAAGATAGGTGAGTTTAAAACTAGTATTATATTTTTTAAAAGAATTATTTATTTAATTAATTCCATTTGTTACTACTTTTTAATTTTACCAGAGAGAGAGAATACGAAAGGGAAAGGGAGAAAGCAAGCCACCAGATCTGGGACTTGAACCACAGTCAGCTATGTGGGAATCTAGCGCCTTTAACTACCTCCTCGCCCCCCACTATTATATTTTAAAACACTTTTTACTTTTGCACTTAGATAGGCATTTACCTGTCAATTCCTTAAAAACAGATAACTTTCAAGTGTCTTCCAATTTGGTGGGAGAAGCTCCAGGTAATGGCAAGTGTCTTCACCGAAGTGCGTTATCTAGAGTGAGGGTGCTGAATGATTGGCACAGAGCTGTCACAAGGCTGAAGATGAGACGTGAGCCAGCACTTAAAAATTACCTGTTCATAACTATGCAGAACATAATCCTAAGTGCATAAAAAAGTGCAGGTTTTTTCCCATTACATTTGAAGGTAAACATGCCAACCCAATGCAAAGCTGTAAAAAAAAATCAGAGTCAGCTTTTTGCATCTTTCCCCTTTGATTCTGGAAGAACATCTTCAAAGATCTAGTCCTTTTAAATGGAAAAGAATTTGGTAACAATCCAATTCTTAGTTTATAAACTATGCTTCATTTGAAACTTATTCACATGAAAAACAATTTATTTGCATCTTACACTCTTACTGTCTACCTGTAGAAGGAAGAATTCTCCTAAGTGAGGAATTTCAGATATTACCTCTTAAGTTTGGGACAGAGGTTGGTGCTTATGCATACATACACATATGGTGGTAGACCAGGAATCCCGTCCCAGTTTAACTCCTCTTTCTGCGCTAAGGCTCTCAGAAACAAAATACATTCGTGAGCTACCAAACACATAAGCGATAGTGGTCCCATAAGGGGTTTATAAACTCTGTATAGTCTAGGTATGTACCAGTCTATGCCATCTAGGTTTATGTAAGTGCACTCTGTGGTGCTTGTACAGTGACAGTCACCTAATGATGAGGCATTTCTCAGATCATATTCCCTTCATTAACCCTGAATACATGACTTACCTCATTAGTTACTTTTGGATTCCAACCCTCTCTTTTCTATCTGTTCCACAGTCTGATACCCTAATGAAAGTCCCCACCCGTAACTTACGTTACCTCTATGAGGATTACTAACTTTTTTTTTTTAGAGGTTTTTGCTATAGGGCGCGTGTGCTTGCCAGAAAGACAGAGAGAGACAGAGAGATAGCGAGAAATCACCCCCCTCCCAGGGGGGATGGCCACACCGCAGTCCTTTCTCCTCCATTTTCCTCTTGGGATCTTGGGCACACATGCACATGTGCCTGGCGTGAGTTTAAGCCACTGGGTCCAGGACTCGAACTGTGGTTGACTACATGGGAGTCCAGTGACATAGCCATTACGCTAACTGCTGGTCCAAAGATTACTAACTTTCTGATAAATCAATACATTTATTTTATTTAATTAATTTATTTTTGGAGAGGTTTTTGCTATAGGGCGTGTGCACTCTCCAGAAAGACAGAGAAACACAGAGACAGAAAGTGAGAAATCATCCCCTGGGAGGATGACCACACTACAATCCCTTCTCCATTATCCTCGGGATCTTGGGCATGCACATATACACACCCGGCATGAGTTTAAGCCCCTGGGTCTGGGACTTGAACCACGGTCGACTACATGGGAGTTCAGTGATCAGTGACATAGCCATTATGCCAACTGCTGGTCCCAATATGTTTATTTTACTTAGTACCTATTTCTATACTTTAGAATTCTGCCTAGGACCTATCTTTTTTTTTTTTTTTTTTAACTTTTGCTGTAGGCTGTGTGTGCTCACCTGAGAGACACGGAAAGAGGGAAAGTGAGAAATCACCCCACAAGGAGGATGACCATGAGGCAATCCCTTCTCCCTCAGTTTCTCTCAGGATATTGTGCACACATGCACATGTGCCTGGTTTGTGTTTCAAGCCGCTAGGTCCAGGGCTTGAACTGCAAAGTTATCCATGTGAGATCTGGCACCTTAACCACTACCTGCTGGCTCCCTAAGACCTATCTTATTATTAATAAAAACCATTGTAAATTGGTTTTACCAACCCAACAGATAAATTGTATGAAAGTATTCACTTTTTGAAAAATGTATGTTCTACTTTGTTTGAAGAAAGATTTAATATTATTATTAATAAGTTAATCAATTAATAACATATCAGAAATAGGAATAAAATAGGAAGTATAGTTGTGGTAAATTAAAGTGAAACCAAGAAAAGGAGTTTGAGAACTAGTTCTTCAGTGCTGACTTGGTTTACTTTTTCTTTGCCTCTGATCATTCTGTAGCATTAGTGATTAAGGTCTAAGATTGAGTTCTAGGTTTGCCAAAAATGAATCTTCACATGATTAACAAGGAAGGAGCTGCTTTTTTCATAAAATCTGTTCTTTGCCTTTGCAATTTTTGAAATGTTGAAACTTCATTAATGTATAATGTGGAATAAATTAGAGGCCGATATTATAGCAACACAATACTTTGTAAAAGTAAAAATTAAAATTAAGTGAAGACTTAACTATCCAAATAATAAAACTTTCATGTCACATTTTTTTATAATGCTTATTTTAAAAGTCACTTTTCTAGTCTCTTTTTCTTGCCAGTTACCCCAGTTTGAGTAGTAAATCCCGTGATAAAATTCAGGGTTTGATTTTGGGCTTCATCAGTTAACACCTAGAGCATATTTATTACATTATTACATTATTAGAGAGCACATGTTCTCGCCAGGGAGACATAAAGGGAGAGGGATAAAGCACCTCCCAGTGGAGTGTGGTCATACCTCAATCCCTTCTCCATCTCTCTATCCCTTTGGGATTTTGGGCACATATGCTTGTACCTAGTGTGTTTTTCAAGCTTTCAGGCCAAGATTTGAACCACAGTCAGCTATGTGGGATTTTGTTTCCCCTTAACCAGTAAGCTGAGCTGGCCCACGTGTACTTTAGTTTTTAAGAGGTTTAGACTTAAAATCATTTCTTTTTTAAGCAGGAAAAATAAGTTCTTCTCTTAAGTGAAAAGCTGTAAACCAAAAGCAGCTTGTGCCAGTGTGGCCATCAGTTGTTTATCCAGTAGGAAGTAATTAATGTAATGTCTTTCCTGAATGATATTTTGTTTTTTAAGAAACTCTTTTTTTTTTTTTTTAGGATTTCATGAGAAATTATAACATAAAAATTGATCAGCTTCAACTACTCTGGTTTAAGTAAGAGTCGGCAGCTCTTAGTATTATTACTCAGCCCTCTTACTCCATCATCCCTCATGAACCTCTGAGATACCTCCAAGACACCTCCTAACACCACATCCCAGGATACCTTCTCCCACAAATTGTTTTGCTCTAGTGTTTTTTAATCTCTTTGGGGAGAGTGCCAAAACCTAGTGGCTTAAAAAATCAAACACAGTGTAGGGATTATGGACACCAACCTCCCACGCAGTCAGAAATCCACATAGAACCTTGATTCCCCAGAAATGTCACTACTAATAGCCTACTATTGACTAGAAGCCTTGCTGATAAACAACACCAATTTTGTAAGTTTGATGTATTACATCATCTTAGAATGAAGTTAGCTAGAGAAAAGAAAATGTTATTGAATAAAAGGCGAGTCAGAGAAAATACACTTATAAGTACTGTATTGTATTTTCCAAAAAAATCCAGGAAACTCATTTCAAGCCTGTGTTCTTCAGGGGTCAGCTGTAATTGGATTTTGCCACTTGTTCACACCTTAGTGATTATTTGGTAGTAATTGGGCCTTTTAAAAATGCTTTGATGTCAGTGAGTTTACATAGTTTATCCTTTTCTCACCTTATGTAGCCATAGAGCATAGTGTATGTAATCTAGATTTAGCTAGGTGCACTTTTTTCTACTAGAGGCTTTAGGGTTATCCTTAAGGTAACAATTACTAATTATAACTCTCCCTCTCTTGGATTTTTCCATCTCTCTCCACATTCCTGACTCTTACATAGGACGAAGAACTTTGAGTCTGGTAAGGCTTATAAGACAACATGGGGAGATGGAGGAGATAACTCACCTAGCAATGTAGTGTCTAAACAGCCGGGTCGGGTAACAAACGGTCAGCCTCAGCAACCAGCCACAGGAGCCGCAAGCGGTGGATACATCAAACGGTACGTTAGCCCCTCTTGATGTTTTCTGTACCTTTTCTAATGAATGTGTCATTTAGGAGATGGGGTGTAGCTATACATGAACCCAATCTCATCAGATAGAAATAACAGTTACTCCACACTGCCCTCCTTGCCCCCCACAGCTTATTCCATTTTTTAAAAGAATTATTTTTAATTTTATTTATTCATTTATTTTATTTTGACCAGAGAGAGAGAAAGAGAAAATAAGAAAGCAAGCCACCAAGTCCAGGACTTGAACCATGGTTGGCCATGTGGGAATGTCCAGTGCCTTAACCACCACGCCTCCCGTTGGTCCCCAGCTTATTCCATTTTAAATATGCATTTAAAACTGTCTTCTGGTAAAATGTTGACTGGTTATTGCCCTTGAATTATCAAATTAACTTTTTATTATATTTTTCAGTAGTTAGCAAATTATCGAAGTGTAGGCATGTTTTACTTCTATAAATAGGAAAAATGTTTAAAAATGTATCGTAGAAAGTAGGAGTCAGCTGGATTCCTGTAAGGATATTTAAACGAGCCAGATAATAAATATTGCAGACTTTTCAGGCCGTCTAGTCTCTGTCACAGTTACTCAGCTCTGTTGTCTTAGGGTGCAAGCAGCCATAAACAAATGAGCATGCCTGTGTTTGAATAAAACTTTATTTACAAAATCAGAAGGTATGTCAGGTTTGGCCTTTGGTTTAGAGCAGTGGGTCTTTAGATGTAAGCATGCATTAGAATCACCTGAAGAGCTTATTAAAACATAGATTGCTGGGATAGCAGGTCACGTGGTGATTGGGGCACTGGACTCCCACATGGCTGACCTCAATTGGACCTAGTGACTTACTTTCTCACTTTCTTTCTCACTCTTTCTTTCTCTGGTGAGCGCATGTGCCCTGTGGCAAATTAACAAATAATAATAAATAAAATGAAATAAATTCTTTTAAAACTCACACACACACACACACACACACACACACACACACATGGCTGGAATCCACCTTCAGTTTCTGATTCAGTAGGTCTGGAGTAGAATGTGAAAGTTAGCATGTTCCTGGGTCTAACAAGTTCCCAGATGATGCTGGGAATCACACTTCGAGAAGCACTGCTCTGGAGTAGTTCCTTAATCTTCTCGTCTGTGGCTTTGTGACACTGTGCTCTTCTTGATCACTGTGCTCTTCTTTCGGTTTTTACTGTAGAGTGTTTCCCAAGAATAGTAACCCATGTTCCCTTGGGTTTAACATTAGCCGAGAGTCATTTTGGTTATGTATTTTTATGAAAAGTAAGTCCATACTTAGCCCATTTTAATTAAACAGAAATTACTGAATTAACTATCTTTTTGTGATAGTATAACTAATGATGCGAGAGAAGATGAAATGGAAGAGAATTTGACTCAAGTGGGCAGTATCCTTGGAAATCTAAAAAATATGGCCCTGGACATGGGCAATGAAATTGACGCACAAAATCGACAAATAGATCGGATCACAGAAAAGGTAAAGCTTTTCATTGCCACAGGAAAATGAGACTGACAGAGTTTTGGTTATAGACATGTGTGCTACTACTGTGAGGGAAACAGTAGGGTGAGAACTTGTCCTCACAGGTCCTAACTGTTTTGATGAGGCAGCAGTTCTAACACAACAAAAAATAAGAGCCTGTTTTTCCCATTTGTTGCTCATGGCAGTTGGTTCATTTTCAAACTACAGCCTTCAAATGAATTGGTTTTACTTAAATCTGTACATATGAAGCTTAAAATTTATTCTAACCTTTGAGTGCCCTTTCTTTTATTTTTTTCATGAATAAGTTAGGTTTTAGAGTTTATCGTGTTAACTAGTCCCCAGATCCTCTTCTCATGAAAGAGTCAGTAGGTGAAAATCAGTCCTATAGAATGGTTCTCGTGAACATACAAAGTAGTCATGTGGGTAAAGGGAAACTGTGGTTCCTCTATTTAAAAACTTTTTGTGATATAAAAGATAGCAAGCCTGGCCATAATAACTCAGGCTTGTTGACGCCACTGAGTATTTGTCAGGCTGAGGCCATATGATGGCCCTGGTTCAACTCAGCCCACCTAAAAAAAAGCCAGGCAATGGCATGTGCCTATAGTCCCAGCTGCTTGGGAGGCTCAGGTAGGAAGATCATGATATAACAAGACCCTGACTAAAATTTATAGCTATATGGATATATCATAAAAGAGAAGTTGTTTTTAGTGTTCAGATATGTCACATGTATCAAAAGGCCCGACCTACTTCATTAAAATCTCAGTATACTTTAAAGCACAGGATAATTTTTTAAGCTTTGCTCTCGTGTTGAATCACTAAACAGTGAATTTCACCAAAGCCAGTAATGGTTAGTAAGATGCCTTCAGTGCTATTTTGGGCTTAGGCTACATATTACCCATCACTTTATTTCAGATATTAGTGTGGGTGGTAATACATCTGTTCCAAACATTTTGGGAAGGTTATTTCAGTCTCTGAGTTAGACCTAGGGTAGCTACAGATGAGATTTAGCATGGATGACTTCCACAGGGCCCAACTCTGTAACAGAGAGGAGCATTCATATCATATTTCATTGCCTCAAGAAGCCATTGATTTTAAGATGCACTCCAGTGTCAGACACATAATATGAAAAAACACATAATAGAATTGATGAAAACTGGCAAGTTCCTTTGTTATACCTTTGTTGTAGTTTATACATCTGGGTTTTTCCAAATGAACTTTATATTCTGTCACTTCTTACCCAAAATGAGTTTTGTAGTAAAACTAGAAGTGTTTATTGAATTTTCCATGTATCAGTTACTCCAAGTGTATAAAATTTGACTTTTATTAGAATGACTTACCTTGTGAAGTAATGCTGTGTATCTCTTTCTTCTTTTTCAGGCTGACACCAACAAAGATCGTATTGACATTGCCAATGCCAGAGCAAAGAAACTCATTGACAGCTAAAGCTACTGCTGTACTTATCATTTCTTCACTTCTCCAGCTCCTCCTCCAAAGCCATGACCTTTCCATAGTTTGAGATTCTGGTTCCACACACATTTATTAGGAGATAATGTGGAAGAAAGGCCAGGAGAGTAACAACAGCCCCCCTACTTTATTTCCTCTCTTTCTCTTGAGGGTGGACGGCTGCTCAGCCTTCTTTCTGGTATCTTCTTTCTCAGTTTATACTCGTAGGTTGGTTTTCATACATCACATAGAGTGTTTTCATCCTCATTTACTTTATTCTTTTGCTTTCAAGATTTGGAAGCATTGCCAAAGACAGCCATGAAAAAGGATGCTATAGAGGTAGATTTTGTTTGTTAATTTCTTTCACCTTTTTTGGTTTATTTTTGGTTTTGTGGTGGAAGAAGGGGCAAGATGGAGGAACATGAGATAAGAGGATGTTACCTCAGTAAAAGCCTATAGGCCACAAATCAAGAAATTGCATAGCCACAGTAAAGATCTAGTTGGGTTTATTTTTTAATGTCAGTTGCAATTATTGCCAGCGTAGGTTAATGGTTGGTTTGGGAGCTCTTATACATAATATTTTTGTTATACATCACAATTTTGCAACCTCTGCTCCAAAAAGAAGAATCGACTGAATTTTCTTAAAGTGAGCTTAATGTCTGAACTCTTAGTGATTCATATGTGTACATAGATTCTGTGATCCCATTTCATATTACACTATTCAGGAACACTTTGTATAAATGAATGACTTTATTTTCATATTAGTAATATCATGGTCCCATATAGGCATATTAACCTCATAAATTTGTCATTAGTCTTTGAAGAAAGAATATGTAAATATATATGTGTAACATGAAAATGTCTCTCTAAAGCAGGGCTTCAAATGTTTTGGTAAACTTTGACAAATTATATCATGTGAATTCAGATTTATTTTGGTGCCAAGAATTATGTTTACGTTTTTTAAAATGAAACTTACTTTGATCTCAGGTAGAAAAATAGATAGTTTGAGTGTTATGTAGCTGTAGACTTTTAAAAAGTTAGAGTTTATTCTTACTAAAAGTGACTTGGAAAATTATATCTTTGGTTTAATTATTTGATAATTGGACTGTCATTCACTAAGCCTTCTGTTTTGAACTATGTCCAGAATGAAGTTTATGTCAATCCTGAACAGTGTTATGAGAATCTGATTGGTATTTGTCACTTTTATTTAAAAGCTAGCATCTGCACACTTCAAAGCTCTCACTGTGGGTTGGTTGACCAGTAGCCACTGCCTGATCCTTACAATTAAATTTTGTAACTTACTAATGATATTGTTCTTTCAAATAGGTAACATGTTTAACTGTTATTTTGGGGGCCATAATTTCATCAGCTCTTGTTTGACAAATTGAATAAAACAAAGGTCCATAAATCAAGAAGTATTCCAATAGAAAGCTGTCTTTAGCACCTTTCCTATATATATATATTTTTTTTTTTTTTTTTTTTTTTGAGAGAGAGGTTTTTGCCATAGGGTGCGTGCACTCGCCAGACAGACAGAGACAGACAGAGAGACAGAAAGTGAGAAATCACCCCCCCGGGGGGATGACCACGCCGCAATCCCTTCTCCTCCATTCTCCTCTCGGGATCTTGGGCACACACACACGCGCCCAGCGTGAGTTTTAAGCCACCGGGTCCGGGATGCGGCCGCAGTCGACTACATGGAGTCCAGTGACATAGCCATTGTGCTAACTGCTGGTGCCAGCACCTTTCCTATTTTTTTTACTGGAAATACTGACAGAACTTTCTATGATTTGTCTTGAGGTTCATTTTAATCATTATTAGTCATTTATTTATTTGAGTTTAAATACACTGGTGACTAAAAGGATAATGTTTCTCTTTTTTTTTTGGAGAGATTTTCACTGTAGGGCGCGTGCGCTTGCCAGACAGACAGACAGAGACATAGAGACAGAAAGCGAGAAATCACCCCCCGGGGGGATGGTCACGCCGCAATCCCTTCTCCTCCATTCTCCTCTTGGGATCTTGGGCACGCACGCACACGCACCCGGCGTGAGATTTAAGCCACCGGGTCCAGGACACGAACCGCGGTCGACTACATGGGAGTCCAGCGACATAGCCATTACGCTAACTGCTGGTTCCCAAAGGATAATGTTTCTTAAGTGAGTACAACCCACTTACTGAAGAACATAAAGTAAACATGGGAACTTTCAAAGGCTATAGAGGAAAGTAGATAAAGGGAGACTCAAATTATTAGACTCAATTAAATAGACTCAATTCTGTTATCAAAAGGCTCATGTCAGAATCAGTAGTTTGGTAAATGGGTAAATTTTTTTTTGAGAGGTTTTTGCTATAGGGTGCGTGTGCTCACCAGAAAGACAGAGAGAGACAGAGAGCAAGAAATCACCCTCTAGGTGGGGATGAAGAGAAATAGACAGAAAGTGAAAAATCACCCCCCAGGGGGATGGCCACACCACAATCCCTTCTTCTCTCAGGATCTTGGGCATGCATGCACACACACCTGATGTGAGTTTAAGCCACTGGGTTCAGGACTCGAACCGCAGTCAACTACATGGGAGTCCAGGGACATAGCCATTACGCAACTGCTGGTCCCAGTAAATGGGTAAATTTGTAAAGGATATAAAACAGTAGGGATTTTGCTGTACCTATATTCCCTTACTAAAAGTATTTTTAAAAGAAATTTTAGGGACTGTCAGGTGGCATAATGGTTACATTGTTGGACTCTTACATGGCCAAATGTAGTTCGAGTCTCAGACCTGGCCACATGAAACTCATGCCAGGCATGTGTGCCTAAAATCCTGAGAGGAGAATGGAGGAGAAGGGATTATGGTGTGGCCATCTCCCCGGAGGAGGGGGTGGTGATTTCCCACTTTCCTTCTCACTGTCTCTGCCTCTCTCTTTTGGTCTGGCAAGCACACACATCCTGTAGCAAAAATCTCTCAAATATTTTAACACTGTTATAAATAAAGAAAATAGTTCTGAAGATAGCGATATGTTACACCATAGTATAACTGATTAGAAGCATGAGGGGAGGCACCAAATTGTCTGGAATTACATACCAGCTCTGCCCCTTGATTTCTGGAGTTACTGTACACCCATTTGTCCTTAGTTTCCTTGTCTGTAAATGGGGATTAATAATTCCTACCTCATAGAACTGTATTACCTAAAGTGGTAATACATGTAAAGCCTCAGAATAGTGCCTGGCAAGTGTAAGAGCTTAATAAATGATAGCTGCTTATCTCTCTAGAGTGGAGCTCTTTTTGGTCAAGGATCCCTTTCTGAATTTTATCAAAACAAAACACAGCCCCTTTTTTCAAATAGGCACACAAATGTGAATCATACACCGGTGACAGTCATGGAGGTTTTAAAAGTCCACCCATGGATCCCAGTTTACAAATTTCCCCATAGCTCTTGTTGCCACTGCTGCTGCTGAGAAAGTAGAGATGAGGCCATGGAAATTAGGCCCAAATGGCACTAGAAAGAGAAACTGTAGATTTAAAAGCCTTTTCTGTCTATCTCCTGTAACACTGTCTGGAAACTTGTTCTATTACTTTTTTTTTTTTTTTTTTTTTAAGAGAGATTTTTGCCATAGGGTATGTGCACTTGCTGGAAAGCCAGAGAGACAAAAAGTGAGAAATCACCCTCCAAGAGGAATGGCCATGCTGCAACCCCTTCTCCATTCTCCTCTTGGGATTTTGGAACACATGTGACTTCATTTGTTTTAAGCTGCTGAGTCTGAAAGTCAAACTATGGTTAACTATGTGGGAGTCCAGCAACGTAACCATTACACCATCTGTTGGTCCCTGTTCCATTACTTTTGAAAGGCAGTAACAAGTAGTTCATGTAAGCTATGGAATCTGACCATCTGGATTTTGCCTCAGTCATTTACTAGCTGTGTGATCCTGAGCATAATACTAGCCTACAAACTAAGGAGGTAAATAAAACAGTATGCTTCACTGATTTCTTTTAACTGTAAGCTCCCTGTTCTTGTTTCTAGTCTTATAATGACTATAATCATCTTTATCCCCTGTGGGTGCATCTATTTTTCCTTCCTTCAGTTTCTTTTTTTTTTTTAACTATTTTATTATTTATTTATTCATTCATTGATTTTTAATTTGACCAGAGAGAGACAGAGGGTGAGAGTGAGAGAGAGAGGAAGTGAGAAAGCAAGCCACCAGGTCCAGGACTCGAACCCCGGTCGGCCATGTGGGAGTGTCCAGCGCCTTAACCACCATGCCACCTGCTGGTCCCTTCAATTTCTTTTTTAAAAAATTATTTATGTATGTATTTTTTTGTTGTGATTTTCAAGCTGCCTGGTCCAGGACTTGAACTGCAGTCAGCCATGTGCCCCAACCACGTTGCCACCTGCTGGCCGCACCTTCCTTCAGTTTAAATTCATTTTTGTGCATACTTCAGCTCTAGATCTTTCCATGTCACATGTGGGTTCTGAATCTCCCCTCAACTAAGTATCTGTGTCTCAGGACCAGGAGGAGGTTGAGGTGCTGGGCTCCCACATGGCTGACCACGGTTCAAGTGCCTGACCTGGTGGCTTACCTTCTCAGTTTGTGCCTCTTTCTGGTGAGCACACATGCCCTATAGCAAAATAAGTAGTAACAAATATGATTAATAATAAAAAATAACAAAATTATTTTAAAAAATCTAAGTCTCAGGTATTATATACTCAGTTACACTTAGAGTTAGCTTCTTTATATGCTGTTCTCTTTAGGTTACCCTCTTACCAAAATTGTAGGTTATCCCATTTACCTTCCTGATCACATTTATATTCCTCAGATTGATATTCATGTTCCTTGTCTTTTTTTTTTTTTGAGAGAGATTTTTACGGGACCAGCAGTTAGCATAATGGCTATGTCACTGGACTCCCATGTAGTCGACTGTGGTTCGAGTCCTGGACCTGGTGGCTTAAACTCACGCCAGGCGTGTGTACATGCGTGCCCAAGATCCTGAGAGGAGAAAGGAGAAAGGATTGCAGCATGGCCATTACCCTTGGGGGGTGATTTCTTGCTTTCTGTCTCTCTGTCTTTCTGACGAGCACATGTGCCCTATACCAGAAACCTCTCGAAAGAAAAAAAAAAAGATTTTTGCTATAGGGCATGTGTGCTCTCCAGAGAGACAGAGATTGAGAGACAGAAAGCAAGAAATCACCCCCTGGGAGTATGGCCACACTGCAAAACCTTCTCCATTCTGTTCTTGGGATCTTGGGCATAACACACCTGGCATGAGTTTAAGTCACTGGGTCTAGTACTCTAACAACAGTCCACTATGTGGGAGTCCAGTAATGTAACCGTTATGCCATCTGTTGGTCCCTTGTTCCTTATCTTCTAGTCATCTTTTTGATGTAGTGTCTCCTTCGAGTTTTCTAGTTCTGTACATTTTGCTAAATTCCACTTTCATGCCTTATCGATGATCTGATAATTTTGTGGGAGCTTACTCTGTCATGGGCACTGTGCTTTTATGTATGTTTTCACCATATCCTGGTAACATACTTGAGAGGTAGGAGGTACTCCCCATATTAGAGATGAGAGTAAATTACTTGAATTCATAAAGCCAGTAAATGACAGATTCTAGATTTAAACCTGGATCTTTGCTGACACCAGAGCCCATGATCTTACACAGTATACTACACTGACTTCCAAACCAAGCTCTCAAAAATTTAAGTGACTTAGAATTGGTGGCCAAATTGGAATCCTGGTCTCCAGAGCACAATTCAAACTATTTTGTTAGTTCATATTTAAGTCCAGATCTTTTTCTTTTAATTCATGAGAGAGCACGTGAGAGAAATAGAACTTCCGCAGGGCTTGGATACACCACATCCCCTTCCCCTGGTCCACTGCATGCTCCGTGTGCTTTCATGCCAACTGGGTCAGGGGCTCAAACCACACTTGGCATGTTGCTTCCACTTCCACACTAAGTTTATTTCTTCTGTGACAAAAAGAAAGAAAACCCTCAACAGGCTCTTGACACTGCAGTCCATTTCCAGCCTTCAGCCAGAACCAGGTCATGGACACACATGTATCCCGTGCACTCAAGAAGGTCTCTAGACTTGAACTGGAAACCTTCCCTTTGGGATTGCCTCACAGAACATATTTTATTGCTGCACCACCATCTGTCTGGTCCCAACCCTCTTTTTTAAAATAATTTAATTTTGTTATTTTAAAAAATTTGCTATAGGGCACATGTACTCACCAGAGACAAGGAAGAGAGGGAAAGTGAGAAAGCAAGCCGTCAGGTATGGGAATCCATGCTCGGTCCACCATGTGAGAGTACAGTGCCTTTACCATGCTACCTGCTGGCCCCATCCCACCCCCTTTTTAAAAAGTCTAAATCTTGTTTACTATAACTTTGGGCATTTTACTTTATATAGCTCCTGCCCTAAAGTAGTTCAATTTAGCAAGAGACAGATAAATATAGGACGTGAGAAGTGCTACAGTAACAGATGGGAAAACAGTTAATTCGGCTTAGATTTAGGAAAGGGGTTTAGACATAGGCATGGAAATTGATTAGTGAAAGTGTATTCCTGAGTGCATGAACAATGCAAAGGCAGAGGAGAGGGACAATGCACTGAGGGTTTCAGGCAGAAGAATCTGGTATGGTTGGGCAAGTAAATGAGAAAAAGGGTGTCTGTTAATAAGGCTTGGTCCAAATTGTGAAGGGTGGTCCTGTGGTGCACTACAGAGGAAGCCGGATCCCACATAGCTGACTAGGGTTTGAGTCCTGGCCCCAGTGGATTGAAAAACATGCTTACTCACATGTGCCCAAGATCCTGACAAGATAGTGAATTAGGGGAAGGAGGATTGAGGTGTGACCAGGCCCCACTGGGTGCTTTCTGTTATGTATGTGCATATACCCTCTAGTATGTATATATATTTATGCATGTATATATGTATATATAGGTTATGTATATATCTGTAGATACACAACAAATTGTGAAGGGTGGTAACCTCTGATTCTTACGGGATAGAGATTAATCTCCAATAATTAAATGGGAACATTAAGTTGTTATATTTATTAAATTCTGATTAGATAAGAAGTACTGATAAAATATTTGGTGAAATGTTGATTGTGTAGTAGATCAGTAAGATTAATTAACGTTTTGTGTGGGGGAGGACCAGCAGTTAGCATAATGGCTATATCGCTGGACTCTCATGTAGTCAACTGCAGTTCGAGTCCCGGACCCGGTAGCTTAAACTCATGCCAGGCGCATGTGCGCGCATGCCCAAGATCCCGAGAGGAGAATGGAGGAAAAGGGATTGTGGTGTGGCCATCCTCCCTGGGGGATGATTTCTTACTTTCTGGCGAGTGCATGCGCCCTATAGCAAAAAAAAAAAAAAAAAAAAAAAAAAAAAGTCTCAAAACAGTTTAAACAGTTTAGGGGAAAAAAAATAACTCCACAAGTGATACTGATAGCTAGCACTTCATTATCCCTCTCCAAATTGAGAAACAGGAAAAAAGAAAACATGGGAAAAAGAACATCTAGAGCAGATTTAGGGTCGGGGACGTCCTCACACAGATGAAATAGTAAGCGCTTGTGGTCTCTTGACTTCATGGTTAAGCAAGGTCTCTACTGTTGAGGACTGTAGATACCTGGTTAATAATGGCTCCTAGGGCAGGGTAAAACTTCAGAAAAGAACCAAATGGTAGCTTCCTAAAGTTCATGTCTGTGACAATCTGAAATCCTCTATTTTTATCCTTCAGATTTCTCTTAAAGCATGGTTCCAGTACCACGGAGTGTTTAACTTCAGTCACACGAAGACATTTCACTACTGTAACCTGAATAAAGAGCATGTTTACTATTCAGTTTACTTTCAAAGAACAAAGGGCCACTTACATGTTAAAGTCTCATGATTTCTTCCTTTAAAGGATTAACCTTACTTCCAGTCAAAGTTCATTAAAAAATTCTTTATTTAGTATATTCTCACTTAGAGAATAAACTTGATAAGCACAGGCTGTTTTAAAATATTGTAGCAATGGTTTCTTGATAAGTAATTTGATTAGTAGAGTTATAAATACAAAAAAGGAGACATTATCATAAATAAGACATTATTTCTAACAAAGCTTCAGGAAAATCTTGATTATTAAAATCCCTTTTATATTACAAGTGTTGCATATACGGTTTTTGCTCTTCAGAGCCCTCTACCAATAAGGCACCTACAGTAGTAAGGATTTTGCTACTGCAGCCTTGGGGAATATTTTAGTGTGTTGGTGCTTCTCTGACAAAGCATGCTATTTATTAATCCAGACAGTCACATATTCATATATTTATGTACATCCTAAATTCCAAGCATGGACACTGCAACTGAACTGATGAGCTGGAATATAATCATGAACACTTTGATTAACTATAGCAGCCTTTCACAAATTATTTGAATCTCATAAAAATATGAAGTGTTGGGCTAGCGAGGTGGTGTGGTGGTTAAGGACAGCTAGATTTCACAGGCTGACTGCCTGGTTCGGATCCTGGACTCAGCAGCTTGGGAAACACACCAGGTCCATATGTGCCAAAGATCCCTAGAGGAGGAGACTGGAGAAGGGATTGCTTTATAGTCATCCCTGCGAGGTGGTGCCTTCTCATTTTCTCTCTCCCTGTCTCTCTGTCTCTCTCCAGCAAGCAACATGTACCCTGTAGCAAATTAAGAAAATAACAATATACATATGACATGTTTAACACAGAGGTGAAATGGCAACTGACTTTATGAAAGCTCACACATTGAAGCTATTCAAAACCTTAGGCTGTGGTACAGAGCTACACTGTTACCAGGTAGCACCCTCTGGTTGTATAAATAGCAACTAGCTATTGGTTTCTTAAAGCCCAACTAGTGACAGCTTTGAAGATCAGCACCGTCCACTGCCTCAACTGTGACAACACCGTCCATTGCCCCAACTGTGACTCAAAATGTAGGACCCTTCCTGTCTCCTGATTCCTTTTCTTTTAGATTATTTGTGATGACCCCTAAAAAGGAAAAAGACCATTGAGTGAAATATCCCCTGGAGCGTCATCTTCTTACTGCAGGTAACCTTGACAACAGGAGACTTTGATTCAGCCAGAGTCCAACAGAGGCTCCAAGTCAGTGTCCTGTTAGGTTCCCATGGTTCTGGAGACCATCACGCAAACTTCTTCTTGGTGGCCGTAAACCTCTCCATGTACTAAAAATCATGAAAAAAGACTATGTATGTGGTATTTTGGCGTGAGCAAATACAAGCCTCACTATTTGTTATTTAGGTTCTGATGTTTCTTTTCATGTTTGTTTTTAATTGGATATGGGCCTTCATTTTCTACAAATGCCATTGTAAATGCAGATTTACACATAAACTTAAATTTTTAAAAATTTTGTATTTAAATTAAATTTTACTTTATGAGAAAAAGAGGCATATCCTTGACAGGACCTTGCCACACCACAGCCCTTCCTGCACCTGCCAGCCAGCAAGGATCATGGGTATACCTGGCAGGTTCAGGTTGACCTGGGATTCCAACTCGGGCCTCCCATATGGCTTCAGTGTAGAGCCACCACAAGTAGGCATGTTTTGTATTTCAATGGAAACCTAAGACAAAGATGCTTTAGAATAAACTTGATTGAGGAAAAGTCGTCTTAGCACACTATCACTTAGTTCTTAGAACCTACCTCCAAAATGGGAAAGAATACATCCTGTTACCACTAGCCATAAACATTTGTGTGAGCTACTTAACTATTATCTTCCCTGGGATAGTGACTAGAGATGCGGAAGTTCCCTAATACATACCTTATCATAGCCTTCTAGTTCTCGAAGTTTCTTTATTTCAAAAAGATTGCCTTCTACAGCAAGTAGACAGATCTGAGAATCACTGAGGATGCTCTGTGGAAGCATGCTGAGCTCAAGACAATTCTCTTCCAGGCGAAGAACTTTAAGACGAGGACAGCAAGATATCTTTACTGAGATCTGAGATATCTATTGAACAGCAACAAGAGACAGGAAAAAGCATAAACACTATAGTGGCTACTTTTTACTATATTAATAACAAAAATTTTGACTACATGTTCCTTTTTACTATATTAATAACAAAAATTTTGACTACTTGTTCTAGTTTGTTTATTTATTTATTTATTTATTTATTTATTTATTTATTTATTTAGGAGAGGTTTTTGCTATAGGGCGTGTACGCTTGACAGACAGACAGACAGAGACTGACAGAAAGCGAGAAATCACCCCCCCAGGGGGATGGTCATGCCACAATCCTTTCTCCATTCTCCTCTCGGGATCTTGGGCGGGCATGCACGCACATGCGCCTGGCATGAGTTTTAAGCCACCGGGTCCGGGACATGAACCGTAGTCGACTGTGGGAGTCCAGCGATATAGCCATTATGCTAACTGCTGGTCCCTCTTTATTTATTTTTTAAGGGCGATTTTTGCTATAGTTTACATATGCTCGCCAAACAGAAAGACACAGAGAGAGTGAGAAATCACCCCCAGGGTAGAAGGCCACACTGCAAACCCTTCTCATCCATTCTCCTCTCAGGATCTTGGGCATGCACACAGATGCATCTGGTGTGAGTTTTGAGTCACCAAGTCTGGGACTTGAATCGCGGTTGACTATTTGGGAGTCCAATGACATAACCATTACGCCATCTGCGGTCCCCTATTTGTCCTAGTTCTTTTTCCGCCTCCATTTTCTCACTACCTACTCACTCCAGAAGCCTCTGTTACCTAGCTTCTGTTACTCCTCCTCCGCTTAAAAAAAAAGAAAAATGCTGTTTTGAAGGTCATCAGTGACTTTTTGGAAACAAAATTTTTCTGATAATAAGAGCATCATGTGTTTATTATAGAAACTGAGACTCATCATACTAGTTTAAAGTTTGCCTGTAATTCACCACCCAAAAATAACCACCATAAACATTTTGGTACGTATACTGCCAATGTTTAACGTGAACATAGATACTGGCTACTTTACTGTCAAGTCAAGTGTTCATTGTCTTCATCCTTTTGGCATTTTAATGTACTGTTTATCCACTGTTCCTTGAAACTCCTTCTTCTGTGTATAAGTACTTCAGTTTTCTTTTGAGTTATTGCTGATTTTTGGCCTCCCTTATTTTATGAACACTTTCAAAGCAGCAATTCCTAATATTTTGTATTTGATCAAATCTAATGAAATAGATATTAAATGTGGGGCCCACGGATCTCTTTAAGCAAGGTCTCTTGGTTATTCTGATGAACACTCAAATATAAGTCATCAGTAAAGGCAATTGTGGAAAGGGTTTCATTTAACTAATACTTATTGCTTAACCAATACACAGTTCTTTTCCAAAAAGCTCAAGGATATCTAAAAATACCCACTTTAAGGAAAAGATGAGGCCAATCTCCTCAAAGATTGAATTTCATCATAAAATAGGAACTTTATAACCTAAAACAACAATAACCACTAGTGGTTACTATACTGGACCATGCAGATCTAGAAGCGTAGACTATAGAAAAATGAAAGGTCACACAGTCTCATAATGTTTAATGTTCTGTCATTTGTATATTATGCCTAGATCAAAGGTTGTTTCTCCAAACATACTTTAACCAAAACATCCAAAGAAATGGAAAGAAATTTAAAATATAATTAAACCTGTCTACCAATAAAATGGGGTATCTTCAGGAAGCCTGTTGCTTCAGATTTTTCAGCAAAAGCAGGACACACACTTAAAGATGCCCCTCCCAAAAAAAACCTCTAAACTACTATTGTCTGACTCAAAACCTATGCATTTAAGCCTTATTCTCATGCTATACTCTATCTCTAATGCAGCTTCTCACTAGGTAATGGGGGATGTATTTTAGGAGGCACTGATTCGTGAGCTAGTGGTTTAATTTTAAAAATTACCTGATCCTGTTGTTACCTATCTCACCTTCCCAAAACCCCCTAAACAAATATACCCAGTGTCCCAACTAATTACATGACATTTTGAAATTAGTTCAACCTATAGAATGTAACTCTCATCTAGACTCTGATAACCAGCTCAATGATTACAGTTTAGTGAATAAGAGATTATTAGGAGACCACGAACCCAAACACATACTACAGGCAAAAAGACTTAAACTCCAGACCTGGTTCTGGTTGAGGTTGAGTTCGATGACCTGCAGCTCCCCCACCATGTCAGGTATACTCCGAATCTGGTTCTTAGAGAGATCCACTACATCCAGATGCCGTAGGCTACAAAGCTGTGTTGGTAGTACTCCCAGTTTGTTCCCAGAGAGGCTCAGGGTCTTGAGGGCAGACAGTTGCCCAAACGTGGATGGCAGCTCCCTCAAGTGATTGTTGTTTAGGCTTAGCGTCTCTAGTTTTTTCAGATTGCATAACTCATCAGGCAGAACAGCTGGTAAAGAAAAAAAAATTAAAAAACCTGAATCTGATAGAGCTGAAAAACACTTTTGATGAAGTTTACCAAGACTATAGGGCAGACTGCTTTGCCCCTTAACAGGTAGAATTCCCACACGTGCCATTTCTAGGAATTGTATTTTACCAACAAAGTCTTCAGAAGGTGGAGTGCCATGAAAATGCAAAACAGCATTCTTATGTAGGTATAATGGACTCTGTAAAGAGGCCTAGGCATATTTCGACAGCAATTTTAAGAGATTTGGAAGATCCTCCCCTTTCCAATCCATCCCCCCCTTCTAACGATGTAAACAGCACAACCCAAAGATATCTTCCCTCTCAAGTCCAAATTAATCCAGTAACAATTATTATACCACCCAAAGCGGCTTGCAGATATAATTGCAAGAGGTAGGAAGCGTCAAGGATTCTGATTTTCTGCATCTTGAGCCCTCTGAACAGTTTCATAACAAAAATCAGCTTGTAGGAGAACACCACCCTTCGAAATAGCTGATCACTAGCAAAAGCTTCCCTGGCGCAAAAGCCATACTCAGTTTGTTGTTGTTCAGAGAGAGGCTCTTCAGCAGAGTGAACTTCCCTATCAACGTAGGCGGTAGGCTCTCGATCTTGTTGTTGGACAAGTCGATGGTCCTGAGATTGCTGGTCAGCTTCTGCAACTCCGCGGGGAACTGGAGAAAGGAGTTCACAGGGTGGAGAAGCCCTTACCGATTAACTTCGCCACCCGAGCCGTCCCTCTCCCTTTAAGTTCCCAGGTCAGGTCCTTCCCAGTCTCACCTCGGTCAGTCCACGTTCCTTAAGCTGAAAGACACCAGTTTTCTGTGCCGTTTCCACATGAGCGCGGAGGGCACTGTTCCCCATCCTAGCGCCGAGGTACGAGTCCCTGCGGGAAAGAAGCGCCCCTGTCACGGCCCAGTCCAGGCACACAGCCACCTCGACGGCCTCTGGCTGGTTCACCAGACCCAGCAGTCACCTCCCGCCAATCTCTGGATCCTGGGGGCCAGCCCAAATGTGGCAAGAAAGAAAAGGAAGAACAGACAGCCCGTCCACCAAGTCTTGCCGCTTTTGCAGCTATACCGAAGCCAGGCGCCTCCGGGAGCCTATGGAGGATCAGGGACTCGCCTCCTACAGCTTAGCTGACTGACGGCTCTGCAGTGGAAGACCCGGGACCTGCGCTCGCCAGGGTTGCGCTCCCAGGGCTTCCGCCCTGGAGGGAACGCCCTGTGACGTCATCGAGCCGCGCCGCGCGTTCGCCCGAAGTTCTGCTCACGGTCGGCGCCACACCGGGAGGTGTGTCCGAGTCATGGCTGCCGCCAACCCCTGGGACCCAGCGTCCACGCAGAATGCTGCTGGACTACTCCTGGGGCACTTGCTAGCCTCAGGGGTGGTCTCTCAGGTGCGCGGGGACGGTGATGGCGTCATCAAGGAGATGCCTACGGTGGCGACAGACTATGGCTGTGAGGTCGTGGGAGTGGGCGGTGGGGGTGCTCGCTGGGGGCTGCACTAGAGTAAATGTGGAAAGAACTCTTGCCCGACCACGGCTGGGGCCACTGCGGTGGGATCTTCGAAAGTGGGGGTCTGAGTAGGTGGTATTTCGAATAGACTGTGTTTCGAGTGTTTGCAGGCAAGTTACCCCATTTGGGAAATCAGATGGACCCCCCCCCCCCCCCGCCCCCCGCTTGTTCTCATCGGTGATACACCGCCCAGATTGTAGTGTGCAGCAGGGTTGAGAAATACGAGTAGGTTGTCAGAACAAGCATAACCAACAACGGTAGTTTGTGGGAAGTATTGTAGCATGTTTGGGGTAAGAGGCGCAGGGTACAGAAGAGGACCAGGGAAACCCTTCTTTTGCATCTTTAAAGGAAAAGTTTTGGGGAGAAAGACATAAAAGACCATGGAACATAAATGGGGGAAGGGATTTATTTTGAGAAAGAGAACAGAGAGATTATCCAATAGGTAACAGTTTTAGGTTAGGTTAGAAGAACATGTTCATAGGCCGGAGGGAAGGAGCCGATAGAAGGAGAAGTTGAGCATTTGAGGGAATAAGGGAATGTAAATTACATACGGAATAAGGACAGTGGGATTGAGGGTAAGACATTTTGATATAAAGAGGAAGTTGAGAGCATTCACTAAAAAGAATACTGAGAAAAATGAAAAGAAACTCATCTGCAGAAATTAGCAGTATGAACATGATAGGTTTATGGAAAATATACAACTTTTTATACTTACAAGAGTCATTTGAGACTTCCAATACCTTACAGTGTTTTTTCAATCAGGAAGGCCTAAAATGCTTCCTTTTCTATTTGTCTCTTTGTTTTTAGGTTTTTGCCATAGGGCATTTTTGCTTGCCAGAGAGAGGCAAAGAGAGGAAAAGTGAGAAGTTATCCCCCAGGGGGCTGGTTACACCGTAATCCTTTCTCCTCCATTCTCCTTTTGTATTTGGAGTACACATGCACACACACCTGGCATGATTTTCAGACCACCAGATTTAAGACCAAGCCATGGTCAGGCATGTGGGAATCCAGTGCCTTAATCACTATGCCACCTGCTGGCTCCAAATGCTTCCTTTTCAGACACATATATCATCTCTTAAAATGAGCTGTGGTGGGGACGGCAGGTGGCATGGTGGTTAAGGTGCTGACTCCCACATAGTCTATCACTGTTCGAGTTGACTTGGTGGTTTGCCTTCTCACTTTTCCTCTCTCTGTCTCTCTGGTCAAATTAAAAATCATCATCATCGTAAAAAATGAAATCAAATAAATAAATAAAAAGATTTGTGATAAGATCATGGAATATTATCCTGAAAAATTTTAAACTTCTGTTAAATACTAAGTATCCTATTGGAGGGTTTCAGATGGTCCTTAGACAGCTTTTCCAGGGTTGCCTGCAGAACTCTTTGTTTGAATCCTTTCTTACCTTCTCTTTTGTAATTTTTTCCTACTAAGTTGCCTATACTCTCACTTGTGTTGTCCAGTTTTGTCACAAAGTAATTTTTCAGTCTCATAAGACATCTGGGACTTAGTATCCTTCTTGGGACCAGCAGTTAGTGTAATGGCTATGTCGCTGGACTCCCATGTAGTCGACCGCGGTTCGTGTCCTGGACCCAGTGACTTAAACTCACGCCAGGCGCATGTGCGTGTGTGCCTAAGATCCTGAGAGGAGAATGGAGGAGAAGGGATTGTGGCGTGGCCATCTCCTCTGGGGGGTGATTTCTCGCTTTCTGGGGCGCCCCCCCCCTATAGCAAAACCCCCCAAAAAAAAAAAAAAAAAAAAAAAAGCAAGCCGCCAGGTCCAGGATTCCAACCACAGTCGGGCATGTGGGAGTCCAGCACCTTAACCACCATGCCACCTGCTGGCTTTTAAAAGACCTTTTCTTTTAAAAAAATTTTTTGAGACGTTTTTGCTATAGGGCACATGTACTCGCCAGAAAGGCAGAGAGAGACACAGAGACAGAAAGCGAGAAATCACCCCCCCAGGGGGAATGGCCACACTGCAATCCCTTCTCTATTCTCATCTCAGGATCTTGGGCACACATGCATACACACCCAGTGTAAGTTTAAGCCACCAGGTCTGGGACTTGAACCACAGTTGACTACGTGGGAGTCTAGCGACATAGCCATTATGCCAACTGCTGGTCCCTAGAAGACCTTTTCTTGCCCATCTATCATGAGCCTCTTGAAGGCTGAGAGCTTGTTTTATTCATTCTGTATCTCTGTCTAATTCAATCAGTGTTTGCAAAAGTAATTATCATCAATCAGTGTACTCTTGCTGTGACTGGCAAGAAAATAAATATTTGGGGCTTTTTGGGCCATGTCTCAACTAGAGCATTGCAATGGAAAAGCAGCCAGAGACAATATTGGGTCATCAGAAAAGTCATGCATAGAAAAACAGAAAAATGCGTCATAACTTTTCCAACGACCCGATGTATAAATGAATTTAGAAAACTATTTCTGGGCCCTAAAATTTGGATTTTATGTAATTTTGAGATTAATACCAAAAAGAAGTAATACAAAATATAATTTTTCCTATTTTCCTTTTTTTTTCTTTTGTCCTGACAATTTGAAAATATAAATACTACTTTTAATCACAGGCCGTACATAAATGGGCAATGGGCTACATTTCATGGACTGACTAGTTTCCCCCCAAATCCCTGGTATATATGATCTCCCGAGTTCTTTCCTATGCTAACTTTCAAGAAAAGAAGAAACAAAATTATTGGATGAAGTCAAGGAACGAATATGATAACATTCATAATCTGAGATCATCTGCTACTTAAGAGGGCAGTATAACTGTGAACGTTAGAATAAAAGGATGAAAAGGAAAGGGTAAACTTTTTAGAAGAATTATGCCTGGACACAGAATTTCTTTATCTGAGAGAGTGAGAATCTAAGTAGATGGAGTATGAATGATTTATAGCCAGTTGAGGTCGTATAATGAATAGATAAATGATTTCATGGGTGAAAAGGTGTTTGATTTTTAGCCCCAGGAAGTTCAGAGAGACTAGGCCTTGGTCATTGGAAAGGCAGAGGTAATTCTCAACAGCTCAGTTTTAAAATCCTCTGATAAGTAATCAGTAATACAATTCTGTTATATGTGGTACCTTAGAAAATGGTACAAACTGATTGCTTTGCTTGTTGCTCTGATTTTTTAAAATATTTGGGCAAGGGATTAATGATTGTGAAGGTTCTAGAAACAGTAAATATATAATAGTACTGTTTTATTCTATACTTCAAGATTGGGTCAGTGTTGGACATGATATATTCTTACATTTTAGACCTGTGGGCATGCTATTCCAATGTGCATAGAAACTTCTTATGACATATTGCTGCTTTTCTTGTTCATTTACCAACAGGAGTTGTTAAACTTATCTAAGAAAACAGATCCTTGCTTTACAAACTTCTCCAGACTACAGCAGATCACAGATATTCAAGCTGAAATCTATCAGGTAAATTGTATTGAACTTTTCGTCTGCAGAAAGAAAGAGAAAAATTAAATGATTCAAACAGCAATTCCCTTGTACTTAGAAAAGATGTCTAATACATATCTGGATAGGTGTTTACATGTAGTAGTTAATAAGTAGTAATAGTGATAGTAGTAGTAATTGTAGCAATAACATGGCAAGAAAATGAAAATGAAAAATTGTAGTAAATCATCTGGGTTCTTAGAATAAATTACCTTCCTTTCTTACTTAAGGAATATGCTGCTTTGTTCCAGGATTTAAAAATATTTTGGTTTTAATCAAAGTTTAAAATCTATAACTTCAGGATACATTTTTTTCTCTTAGTTTTGCTGTATGGTCCGTGTGCTCACCAGAATGGGGGGGTGGGGGGAGTAAGAAATCGCCCTCCAGGGGGAAGGCTATACTGTAGTCCCTTTTTCTCCATTCTCCCCTCAGGATTTTGGCACATACACACACCTGGCTTGTTTTCTAAAGTCACCAAGAGCAGGACTCATATTGCACAGTTGGCCATGCGGGATCCAGCCACCTTAATTTCTGCATCACCTGCTGGCCCCACAGTACTTTCTGAGTGAACTAAATGTTACTTTTGTTTCTAATGTAGAAAAACTTGGAAATTGAACTCCTGAAACTAGAAAAAGATACAGCAGAAGTTGTTCTTCCTTTCTTTTTGGGTAAGTTATTTGATTAAGTAGGTAATTATTGGAATTTCAACTTTTTCTTAGATTATCATAAATAAGTACCAGGCAGCAAATTTATGATGTACCACCATAGTTATTTCAGCATTATCCCAAAGCTAAAATATCTTCTGTTTCTATACTCAAATACCATGGGGCTTCAAAACTTCCTGGAAAAATGGTAAAAGTACAAGTTTATTCTGGTGCAAAAATTTTGAAATCCATGTATATTTTTTCCATGGTATACATTTTTTAAAGGATTTTTTTTTTTTTTTTTGGAGAGATTTTTTTGCTATAGGGCACGTGCGCTTACCAGAAAGACAGAGAGAGACAGAGAGACAGAAATCACCCCCCAGGGGGGATGGCCACACCACAATCCCTTCTCCACTCTCCTCTCAGGATCTTGGGTACGTACGCACACACTCCTGGCAAGCGCTTAAGCCACCGGATCTGGGACTTGAACTGCGGTTGACTACATGGGAGTCCAGTGACATAACCATAAGACCAACTGCTGGTCCGCATTAAAAGAAATATTTATTTAATTTTATTGATTCATTTATTTATTTTAATTTGATCAGAGAGAGACACAGAAAGAGAGATGGAAAGTGAGAGAACAAGTCACCAGGTCCGGGACTCAAACCATGGTCAGCCACGTGGGAGGGTCCAGTGCCTTAACTGCCACGCCACCTGCTGGCCCTGATACTATGCATTTTCCATAAATTTATTTTTAATGATAGAGTACGTAATGTGAGAGTATGCATCCTCAACAGGGTCTCATCACACCACGATTCCCTTTTCCCAGCCCTCCAGCTCCTCAGGATCCTGAGCACCTGTACACATGCCTGGCATATTTTCAGGCCTACCCAGGGATCAGAACCCACAGTTGGCCAGCACTGTGACTATTGTACCACAGGCACTGGAACATATTGAACTTTCTGAAGGCTCCTCATAGAAATCCTATTGTCTAGACTAGTGTAAACAGCCTAAAAAGTGACCAGGTTGGCTCCTCAAAGTCAGGAAGACTTGAAAAACAAAGAATAGCCGAGAAACTTTCCACATTAAAGGTGACTAAAGGGAAATAAAACTAAAGCCCTATATGATTATGGATCAAATATTTGATCAGAAAAATGTTTTTGTTTTTTTTTAATAAAAGACATTATTGGTACACTTGGTGATGTTAAAATATGGACTGGATTGAATATTGGTAGTATAGTATCAAGATTAAATTTTCTGAATTTGATAGTGTTCTGAAGTTATTCTTGGAAAATATATGCTGAACTTTTGGAGGAAAAGATCATGCTGTCTGTAACTTACTCTCAAATAGGTCCTTTTGAGAATGAAAATTTTGTGTATATGTATGTGTGTATATAGAAAGAGAAAAAATAGAAAATGTAGCCAACTATTAACAATTGGTGAATCTAGATGAGTCTTGAAACCTTTCTGTTAAGCATGAACTTTTTTCAAAATAAAAATGTTAAAAGAGGGAATAATTGGTGGCTATTAACTAAGTTCTGGGGAAAATGCAGAGATAAGCAGAAATAGATTGTAAGATTACTGTTTTCTTTTAAGAATTATTTTATTATTTTTAAATTTGCTCTAAGGCACATGCTTTCACCACAGAGAAAGGGAAAGTGATAAAGTAAGCCACCAGGTCCAAAATGAATCACAGTCGGCTGTGGGAAAGCAAGCTACCAGGTCTGGGATTTGAACCATTGTTGGCCATGTGGGAGTCCAGTGCTTTAACCACTATGCTACCTGCCGGCTCCTGATTACTGTTTTTTTAATGTTCTCATATGAAATATTAAAGACAGGGATAGGAAAAGAGACCTTATGTGAATAGGGCTCTGGCTGTAAAAACTAAAGTATAATTGAGAAACATAGGAAGAATTTAACAATAGGTCTAATTATCACTAGGAAAAGTAAAAGAAAGTAGTTGGAAATGAAATTGGTCTTAAAGAAAGTAATGAGAAGATATTTAGGGAGATGGTAGGATTGCTTTTTGACATTGGTGTATGAAACCAAAACAAAAAAATTTTAGTGATTACAAAATTTGCTTATCTATTGCTAATTGTAATTACTTTTTCTGGTTTGGGTAGCTCAGAAGTGTGAGACTGTGCAAAGCATGAATAATCATTTGGAAGCAGTGCTGAAAGAGAAGAGGTCCCTCAGGCAAAGACTGTTGAAACCCATGTGCCAGGAAAACTTACCCATTGAAGCAATTTATCACAGGTCAGGCTGAAAAGTGGAAATTTATGGGTATAAATGTTTTCTGAGAGTAGTTCTTATTTAGACTGGCAGTTACTTTGTACAATAATTTGTGAAACAGTATACTAATGATTATATTTGTTAACACAGTTTATGTTAATACATCAATCTAAGAAAAGAACATTTTTTGCTTTTTTTTTTTTTTTTTAAGAATTATTTTTATTGGAACCAGCAGATGGTATGGTGGTTAAGGCCCTGGACACTCCCACGTGCCACATGGCTGACTGCTGTTCAAGTCCTAGACCTATTGGCTTGCTCTCTCACTTTCTCTCTTTCTCTGTGTGTCTCTCTCTGGTCAAATTAAAATAAATGAATGAATGAATAAATACATACTTAAAAAGAGAATTATTTTTACTTAACATTATTATTATTATTATTATTATTGTTTTCCTATTTGATCAGAGAGAAGATATAGGTTATTAATAATAAATAACAATAAAATAAGAAAACAAGCATCTAGGGATCTGATTACTACTTTTCTCCACCACTGCCTCACAGCTGATGACAAGCAAATTAATATCCTTTCTTTTTTTTTTTTTCTGTAAAGGTTTTTGCCATAGGAGGGATGTGTACACTGGAGAGAGATAGAGGGAGACAAGAAGAGGAAAAGTGAGAAATCAATCATTCCCACAGTCCCTTCTCCGTTCTCCTCTTGGGATCTTAGGCATGCATGTACATGTGCCTGGTGTGATATTTCAAGCCACTGGATCTGGGACTTAAACCAAGGTTGACCATGTGGGAGTCCAGCACCTTAAGTACTACACCACTTGCTGGCTCCAGTATCTTTTAACTGTCAGATTCCTTTTTTTTTTTTTTTTTAATAGATTTTTTTGCTTTTGAGCACTTATGCTTACCAAAGACACAGAGAAACACAGAATGAAAGAAAGCAAGAAATTAGCCCCCAGGGGGATGTCCGTGCTGCAATCCATTCTCCATTTTCCTGGAATTTTGGGCATACATGCACACATGTCTAGTGTGAGTTTCAAGTCACTGGGTCTTGGACTTAAACTGTTGTCAACCATGTGGGAGTCCACTCCTCAACTACCATTCCCACCTACTGACCCCAGCTGTCAGATCTTTACTCTGTCGTAAAATAAAAGATAAGCAAAAATCCTGTTCTTGTGGCTATATTCAGTATAGTCTCATCAATACATTGGGTTGTCAGAAAAGTCATGATGTATTTTTGCATAGAAAAACATAGAAAAGGAACCAGCAGATGGCATAGTTGTTATGTGGCTAGACTGACCATGGTTCGAGTCCTGGACCCAGTGGCTTCACATTTATGCACATGTGCCCAAGATCCTAAGATAAGAATGGAGGAGAAAGGATTGTGTCATGGCCATTCCCCCATGTGGTGATTCTCACTTTCCCTCTCACTGTGTCTGTCTCTCTCCAGGGAGCACAGAAGGCCTGTGGCAAAAATCTCTTAAAAAAAAGAGAAAAAGGAAAAAAAAAAACAACAAAACATAATACCACATCAAAGAACTGAGTAATGATTTTCAAGGATTTTGCAAATGCCAAGATTTAAAGTAGCTTTATATGTAGATTATTTCAAATGAAGTATATTTATTCTTGTTTTCATTCTTTACTTAGAATGAGTATATCCAGTGGAATTGTTTTATCTAGGGAAATTCCTTTACTTACATGAGAAAATTATTAACATTTAGGGTTATCTAACATTAGATTGGATTCCAGATATGATTAGTGTTGTCTCCATTTTTTTCTATTTGATTGCAAGTTAAGTCTTCCTTAAAGCAGAAGAGAAGGAACTTTTTTTTTAAATCACTCATACATACGTGACAGCAGGATCATTGTTACTGGGTTGTTGAGTTAATTGTAATTCTCTTATCTCAAAATAGAAGTCCTAATTAAAGGAAAAGTCAGGAGGGAACAAAATAGTTAAACTAGTAAAACATAGTTGACTTTTTTTCTCTTTTTCAGATACATGGCACATTTGCTAGAATTGGCTGTGACTTTCATTGAGAGATTAGAATCCCATCTTGAAACAATTAGAAATATCCCTCATTTAGATGCAAATCTAAAGAAGATGGTGAGTGTTAATATGGCTATCTTTATTTTTTCTATAAGAATCTTAAATTTGTGATCTGTGTAATTTTTTTTTTTTATGAAGTGAATGCACAAGAGAGTAAGCTGAGTCATGCTGTTATCCCCTCTCCCAAGCTTTCCAGCTCCTCAGGCTCCAATCCTGGGTACCTACACATGTTTATGTGCCTGTCTTACCCCTGGCATGTTTTCAGGCAGACCCAGGGATCCGAACCTGCAGTTAGCCATACAACTTCCAGCCTTGCAGGCACTTTCTTCACTGTTGCACCACAGCATCTGGGCTTTATTGTTTAACTTTTTGATGGCAAGTGTTGTAAGCCAATTATTTTTAAAAATCAAGATGTGGGGGCCAGCTGGTGGCATGGTGGTTAAGGTGACTGGCCTTACACATGGCTGACCACAGTTCAAGTCTTGAACCTGGTGGCTTGTTTTCTCACTTTCCAATAAAATAATGACAATGAATAAAATAAAATAGTTCTGTAAACAAAAAAAAAAAAAAAAAATATTGTTTTAAAAAAAAAAAAAAAAAAAAAAAAAATTAAGATGTGTTGGGGTCAGCAGGTAGAATGGTGGTTAAGTCGCTAGATTCCCACATGCTGACCACAGTTTGAGTCCCAGAGCTGGCAGTGTGAAAATCATGCCAGGCAGGTGTGCGTGTGTGTGTGTGCGCATGTGCATATGTGTGCCCAAAATTCCAAGAGGAGAATGGGGAAGGTTCTATAGCATGGCCATCTTCCCTGGGGATGATTTTTCACTTTTTCTCTCTCTGTCTCTCTGTTGAGTGCACACACCCTATGGCAAAAGCAAAAACAAAAGAAATAGCGAAAGAAAGAAATGTTTCGTTTCTTTGTCACATCACTTTTCTTTTTACGTTTGTTTCTACTTGTTTTTTTTGGAGAGGTTTTTACTATAGGGCGCATGCGCTCGCCAGACAGACAGAGAGAGACAGAGAGACAGAAAGCGAGAAATCACTCCCCAGGTGGGATGGCCACTCCGCAATCCCTTCTCCTCCATTCTCCTCTCGGGATCTTGGGCACGCATACACACATGCGCGACGTGAGTTTTAAGCCACCAGGTCCGGGACATGAACCGTGGTCAACTACATGGGAGTCCAGCGACATAGCCATTATGCTAACTGCTGGTCCCATATTTGTTTCTACTTTAATCTGCATTTATATTATGTCAAATTTGTTCCTGTGCCCTAAGCTTTTGTTTTTTTGGTTTCTTCTGGAATATCTTTTTGTTCTGTACAGCCTCCTCTTCTGGTTTAGGAACAATTTGTTTCTTTTTAGTAAGGATCATCTCAGTGTGGAGGGGGAGCACATATGTGGGTTAAACCATGAACTCTGTAAGTATGACAACACAGCTTGGGTGCTTTGTTCTCCTGAGTATGCTCAATGACCAGAGACTCTACATCTCAACTTTTGAGTTCGGCATAACTCTCTGTATTTTTTCAAAATTAGTTAATTTATTTAACTCCATTTGTTATTACTATTATTATTTTAAAATTTGACCAGAAAGAGAAAGTGAGAGAAAGGGAGTGAGAAGGCAAGTCGCCGCCAGGTCCGGGACCCAAACCACGGTCAGCCATGTAGGAATCCAGGGCCCTTAACCACCACACCACCTGTTGTCCCCTACTCTCTGCATTTTTAACCATGGCAGCAAAAATTCAGCATTTTTTAGGCCACCGACCTAGTGTACAGCCTCACTGTTTGGCCTGGGCACACCTGCCAACTCCACCATTGTAATGATGAAATGGCACACATTGCTTCTGTAAAGTGACATCTTTCATCCTTGGTGGCTTTTTGGATATACATGCCCTATATGGCCTGGACAGGTGTGTAGTTGTTCTTAAAGCGAACATGAAGATTTGAACCTATAGATTTGCATTATTTTGTGGGGGTTTCTGTGTCAAATGAGTAATAAAACATTTTCATAGAACCTCAGTTCATGTACAATAAAGATCTTTTTTTCCCCCCCATATGGCCAACTGTGGTTTGAATCTCAGACCAGTAGGCTTGAAACTCATGCCAGGTATGTGTGCTTGTGTGCTCAAAACCCCAGGAGGAGATGGGAGAGAAAGGATTGTGGTGGGGCTTTCTTCTCTGGGGAGGGGGTGATTTTTCCCTTTCCCTCTCTCTTTCTAGTGAGTACATGCACCCTATTGTAAAAACTTTTAAAAAAAAAAAAGATGCCATCTATTGAGCACAGGAAAGGGAGAGATGACTTCTAGTTTAGGGGGGTTGGAGTAGGATAGCGAGTAGGAGGACTTTAGTCAAGTTTTATATTGAAGTTAATGGTGAGCTGAATCTTGAAGAATTGATGAGATTTGGACATACTTCTGAAAGAATAACTTGATCAAAGTGACAATGTGAAAAAAGACATGAAAGTCAGAGAGCACAGGTAGTTTGGGAGGAAAGTGTTAATTCACTTGACTGATGCCTAAAAACATTTTGTTTTTATTTTTAGTGATGTTCATAGAGGAGTGACTTGATCGGAACTGTGCCTCATGGAGGATGTATTAGATGGAATAGATTGAACCCTGGTACTCAGAGTACGAGTGGGCAGAGTATCATCATTAGCATTACCTGCAAGTTTGTTAGGAATGCAGAATTGCAGACTTTATTCACTCTAGAATCTGAATCTACAGGTCTTTTGTTTCGTTTTGAATTTTTTTTTTTTTTGAGAGAGATTTTTGCCATCGGATATGCGTGCTTACCAGAGAGACACAGAGAGACAGAAAGTAAGAAAGTACCCACTCCCTGAAAGATGGCCATTTTGCAATCCCTTCTCCTTCAACCCCCTTTTGGGATTTTGGGCACACACACACACACACACACGCACACGCACCCAGCATAAGTTTTAAGCTGCCGGGTCCAAGACCAGGACCAAACCTCAGTTGACCACTTGGGAGTCCAGCACCTTAATCTCTATGCCACATACTGACCCCAGAATCTGAATCTATAGTTTAATAGTTCCTCTGGTGATTTCTGTAACTGTTAAATTTTGATCAGCTCTGGATTTGGACTAGGCAGAGAAACTTGGAAGGTAGTTACAGTCATTCAGTTAAAAGATTTAAGGATGGTCCTACATCACAGTGGTTAAGCACTATTCTTAGAAAGCTGATATTTTGGTCCAAGCAGCTTGAAAAATATGCTGAGCATATGTGTGCGCATGCCCAAAATCCTGATGGGATAGAGGAAAAAGGGTTGTGGATCATGCTCCACTGGGAGGTGCTTTCTCTATCTGTGGTGTGCACATGCATCTGGCAATTAAAAAAAAAAAAAAAGAACTTGGGGCCAGCAGATGCATAGCAATTACATCATTGGATTCCCATGTACTGCGGTTTGAGTCCTAGACCCAGTGGATTGAAACTCATGCCTGGTGCATGTGCATGTGTGTCCAAGATCCTGGGATGAGAATGGAGAAAGGATTGTGGCATGGCCATCCCCCTTGGGGGGTGTTTTCTCACTTTCCCTCTCACTGTGTCTGTCTGTCTCTCTCTATTCCCTGTGAGTGCATGTGCCCTAAGGGAAAAATAATCTTTAAAAAATAAAAAAAAAGAAAAGAATTTTTCTAAATTAAAAAGAAAACATAAAAGCAAAGGATTTTTTTAGATTTTGGAGGTCAGATTTTTAGAACCTGGCTACTATTTGGACATGGAACACATAGGATAATGAAGTTTTTAGGCTGGATGACTTGAGGTTAAGATCAAATATGAGTTTAAAAAGTTAATGAGGGTCTGCCTATGGCCTTAATAGCCTCATAGTTAAGGTGGCTGGATCCCACATGACCAAATGTACATTTAAGTCCTGGGCCCTGTTGCTTAAGACACATACCGAATATGTGTGTGAGCATGCCCAAAATCCATAAAGGAGAGAGAAATGGAGAAGGGATTTCGGTGTGACCCTGTCCCATAAGGGGTTCTTTCTCACTTTCCTTTTGTCTCTCTTTCTCTCTCCTGCAAGCACATACGCCCTTTGGCAACATTTTAAAAAAGTTAATGTGGGGCCAGTAGGTGGCATGGTGGTTGGGGTGCTGGACTCCCACAGGGTTGACTACTGTTCAAGTCCTAGACCTGGGGGCTTGCTTTCTCACTTTCTCTCTCTCTGTCTCTCTTTCTCACTCTCTCTCTGAGTGCACATGCTCTATGGCAAATTAAATAATAACAGTGATAAGATTAAAGTTAGTGTTTTTGCTTTGTATGTGTATACAAGTACACGTGTGGTATTTGACAGAGTCTCGCTATGTCACAGTCTTCTTGCCTTAGTCTCCCAAGTAGCAAGAGCTACAGGTGCATGCCAGCACCCCTGGGTCTTTCAGACAGAATCTTGCTGTGTTGCCCCTGTGAACTGTAGGCCCACAAATCCTCACACCTCAGGCTCTCAAGTAGCTGAGACCGTAGATACCCTAGCTTTTTTTTTTTTTTTTAAAAGGTTTTTTCATTATAGGGCGTATGCGCTCGCCAGACAGACAGAGAGAGACATAGAGACAGAAAGCGAGAAATCACCCCCCAGGGGGGATGGTCACGCCGCAATCCCTTCTCCTCCATTCTCCTCTTGGGATCTTGGGCACGCACGCACACGTGCCCGGCGTGAGTTTTAAGCCACCAGGACGCGAACTGCGGTCGACTACGTGGGAGTCCAGCGACATAACCATTACATTAACTGCTGGTTCCCAATACCCTAGCTTTTTAGGGTAGGCCAGGACGTAGTTTGAGCTTAGGTCTCACACAGCCTCAGCCTGAGAAACACAGTGTCCAGTGAGCGCACCTTGGCTGAGCTTTGAGTATTTTTTTTGACATGTCTTGTACATACAATAAATGTTCAATCTCTGTTTCTTGAACTGTACTTAAATTGAGTTAAGATGTTGAATGTACATCCAGAATGAGATTGCCAGTGAACTGAATGAGGGACTCAATTTCAGAAAGGAGCTTAGATTTGACAGTATAGATTGAGGGTCATCCGCATTGAAGTATTAACTAACGACAAGGAGAGGTGGTCACACCCAAAAGAGAAGGTGTGATCTGTAAGAAGCGGAGGAGCAGTTATAGGGAATTTTTATAGTCAGGACTGGAGAACGATCAGGAGGTAACCTTTGGCATCATAACTGTTGTGATATAATAATAATGAATCAGTGGCAGATATCATTTCTATTTTTCTTTCATATGTTACAGAGCAAGACTTTGGCAAAAATGGATATTTTGGTGACTGAGACAGAAGAACTGGCAGAGAATATACTCAAGTGGCTAGAACAACAAAAGGAAATTTCTTCTTGTATCCCTAAAATATTAGCTGAAGAAAATAATCTTCATAAACATATTATAATGCCTTCTTTACCTTTTACTTCTAAAGTTCAGGTACAAACTAGTAATGCCAAGTGATGATCAACCTGACTTTTGCTTAATTATATGTAGTCATGTAAAGTCTCTTTCTAGTTCACTGTGACATCGATAGTCATAGGCCTTGCTGCTCACAGTACTGAAAGAACTTTCTTTATTTTGGAGTACCAAGATTTCAGTCAGTACCAAACTGACTTTTCCTTTGTTTTTTATATTTTTTGTTCTGTTTTTCAATAAAGCTCTTGAAGATTGAGTATAGCTATGACAACTTTCTAATGTAAGTGAACCTGTCTTTTCTCAGGCAACAGGTTCTCTATTATGTCCTTTTAAAAAAATATGTTTCTGGGCATTAGCAAATGGCATAATGATTATGTCACTGGACTCCCACATGGCCAACTGCAGTTCAAGTCTCAGACTCAGAGGTTTAAAACTCAGCTGGGCATGTGTGCGGCTGTACCCAAAATCCCAAGAGGAGAATGGAGGAGAAGGGATTATGGCATGGCTATCTCCTGAGGGGTGATGTCTTGCTTTCTGTCTCTCTGTCTCTCTGGTGAGCATACACACCCTATAGGAAAAATCTCTCTTAAAAAAAATGTGTTTCAGGGGACCAGCAGTTAGTGTAATGACTATGTTGCTGAACTCCCATATAGTCGACCGTGGTTTGCATCCTGGACCCAGTGGCTTAAAACTCACACCGGGCACGTGTGCATTTGTGCCCAAGACCCCGAGAGGAGAATAGAGGAGAAGGGATTGCAGTGTGGCTATCCTCCCTGGGGGGGTGATATCTCACTTTCTGTCTCTGTCTGGCGTGCGCACACCCCCTATAGCAACCCCCCCCCCCAAAAAAAAAATGTGTTTCTGAATTACAAGAGTTTTTTTGAATGTGAAAATGTCTAGTTATTTCTGTGGGATTGTTGCTAAGATGGGCAGGTAAGAGTAACATAAGAGGCATGACTGTTATCATTTGAAAGCCCTGCTTACAAGGTTAGTCCTTGTGTCGGGCATCTGGGAATTTAGATATTGGGAGCATTTCCTCCACTCATTGATAAGAGTGACTTACCGTGACTAAGCTATTTGTAAAGTGTGGTTTGTGCCAAATATCTGCTTGCTTCACTTCTAAGAGTCTAGGGATTTTTTTTTTTTTTCTGTTGTTGTTGCTTATTTCTTTATTTTTAGAGACAGGGTCTTGCTGGATTGGCCATATTGGCCTTGAGCTTGAACTTGTGATCCTCTTGACTAAGCCTCCTAAGTGAGATTTTAGTCACATGCTCTGGAGTCTAGTTTCATATACAACAAGGTAGAAGGTACCTATGGAACCAGTCTCAGTTAAAAACTCTAGGTGCTATACCTCTAACAGGCTTCTTAGGAAACATTTCACTCAAGTTGTCACAGTTCAGTTGCTGGGGGAGTGAAGCATGCCCTCTGTGACTCCACTGGCAGAGGTCTGGAAGCTTGAACCTGGTTTCCCCTGACTTTGCCCCATGCAGCTTTTCATTTTCTATTTTGCTTTGTATGCTCTTACTATAATAAATCATAGCAGTGAGTGTAATGATATGCTGAGTCCTGTGATTCCTCCTAGCATATGATTGAACCTGGGAGTGGTCTTGGGGATTCCAACACCAAGCAGTTTCTGAGGGTGTTCATTGGCAGCCTTGGGAATAGGCAAAGATGGAAGGTAATACAAAGAACAGAAAAAGACACATTTCGATCTAACTTTAGAGGTTTTCCTTGCAAAATGCTCAGATATCTGAGATTATCGTACATACAATAGTGAGTAGTATGCTAACAAGTCTTTCATTTATAGCAGTACTATAACTACCCCTGGCTTTTCTTTTTTTTGGAGAGGTTTTTGCTATAGGGCACGTGTACTCGCCAGACAGAGAGAGACAGAGAAGAGAGACAGAAAGCGAGGAATCACCCCCTAGGGGGATGACCACGCTGCAATCCCTTCTCCTCCATTCTCCTCTTGGGATCTTGGGCACGCACAAACACACGCACCTGGCGTGAGTTTTAAGCCACTGGATCTGGGACTCGAACCATGGTAGACTACATGGGAGTCCAGCGACATAGTCATTATGCTAACTGCTGCGCCCCCC